GTAGGTCACCGCCTTTTGTCAAATCCAGCTCCAGTACCTCCACATCCCGACTGGGAAAATGCCATTTTTGTTTTCCCGAAAATAGGTGTACCACCACCCTTTTTGCTCGTGCCAGCCGTCTCCTTTTATGACGGTTGAAAGGCAACGCCGCAATATCTCCACGTGGCAACAGCTCCATCAGCATATTTTCTGGTATATCCCCATAATACCACCGAAGAAATCGCCAGCATGCCTGGACGAACTCCTCCTCATTCGCTGACGCTGTCCGCGCTGCGCTTTGCAACGACGTTTTTACAGCCACCTCGTTGTCCGTATTCGGACACCCTTGAACCATACGTGCCACCTTCAAAGCTTGCTTTGGGGAGCACCAATCCATTTCATCAATGATCTGAAGCGCCACCTCCTTTTCTAAACAAGGGCACCCATTCAGATCACGAACGCGAAGTTCCCCCAGAACAGGATGTGAGGCTGTGCACTTGCCACCACGCCACTGAACTCTGAGACCAACCAAGGCGCTCGCTTTGCCAATTGGCACTAGTGGATCTACCATTTCAGGAGTTACCAGGGTCCCACCTGGGGTAATACACATCTCCCGAGATCCAACAGCTAAAGACACCAACACCTTTTGCTGCGGAAGCTGTTCTCCAGGACGAAGTGATCTGAGAGGATGTGATGCTCCCGAGTCCAACATGCCCATTCCCGAACACTCATTGGTGTCAGAAACCCTGGCCACATGTAGAACGCATACTCCTCGGCCTTCTCCCTGCTTCGGCAACAACGTGGCATCCGACGAACCGACTCCACAGTCCGCCCTTCCATTCCTCCATTGAGAATGGGACCAAGATACACGCTGCCCTTCAGCATGCAAAACCATTTTTTCAGCTGTTTTGTAATCCATAACCAAACAGCCATGTTCAAACCACAAGAGCTGGTCCAGCGAAGATTTTGCCCCCACGTGACACATCCCATTGATCACAGTGAGGTTCGCCCCAAACTCCAAAATCAACCAGAGAGGGATAATCAGGGGCCCATTGTCTTCCCTAATCAACGTCCCTTTCTCTGTAATCCTCATTGTCACACCACCAAGCGCGCTTTGCACCATAACAGTAGTGTCTGGTAAACATTCCCATGGAAAAAGCGTCCGCACAAGATGCGTAGCAGCTGTATCCACCAACGCCACTCTCCCTTCCTGCTGAAGCAGCCCAGAGCCACATAACATTCGAATACTGGGATCCCCGTTTGATGCCGACTGTTCTGATGACAGCTTCATAGATTTCAGCACCTCTAACGCTTCAACAAGGACCTGATTGGCCGTTGATGGCGATGAGGGACTTGCAGAACCTTTATCCAATCCCGCATTAGCCGTCTCATCTCCCCCTTCAGCTACCTCTGCCTTTTTGGCATTTCCCCATTTCGCACCTTTGCCGCCCTTTCCCCCTTTGGGAGAATTCCCTTTAGATCTACTCCTCTCAGGATTTGAGTCCACATTGGAACTTGCACCATCCTTATATGGACATTGCGGCTGCAGATGGCCAACGGCCCCACACTCAAAACATCTTCCTCGTTCAAGGGAGTCTTTGTCATGGCGAAATTTGCAGCGGGATCCGAACTTGCACCCCGCATCGGTCTTCCCATATATCCAACAGAAAGGACGTTCACCATCTCCGCTGTACCTTTTTCCTTTCCCTTTGCCTTTGTCACCCTCCTCTGTCTCGTCACCAGTTCCCTTTTGGGCCTTGTTTAACCTGGCCCTTTTCTTGGCGTCCGAGTCCTGCTTCACCTCTTGTTCACCAGCACTATGCAATAGCAGTTCAAACTCTGCCTGTAACATTTCAGCTAGTTTTGTCGCAGTTTCAGAGGTCGGCGAGTAGTCCACCCCCAATTTCTCCCGAAAGGATGCCACTCTGAAATGAACCGTAGGGTGTTTCGCCAGCAACGCGGATGACAAACCATCCAATCCCTTGATAAGCAAGGTAGCGTCCGGCTCAGCCGCTCTCAACTCCCTCAATCGGGAACGCCATTGCGCCCATTGACGCACTCCCTTTATGGCCTCTGAGATCGAGGTTGCTGGAGATGGTTGCACCAAGAAGTTCAACATTGTGCTGCGCTCATTTGCTCCACCTGGTTGGTAGACCGTCAGCAATTTGTAAAATATCATCACTGACCCCAACATTCGAGTGGAAACGATCTCGGTCTTCAATCTCTCCGGGATCGCCTGTAGCAGCAAAGACACCGCTCTCTGCTCCAACAAAACATGCACAGTTTGAACCACTTTGAGCCCTTCCAGCGCTCCAGGAGGTAAACTGACCCTACCACCAGGCCCTTGAGGTAGTCCATGTCCTATACCGGGCGCAACAGCTGTGAGCGGAACCTTTTCTAATTCCAACTTCCCAGCGACCATTTTCCACCGATACGGAACATCATCCACCATTGTATATCCACCCGATCCTGCTGAGTTCTCTTGCGTTGCAGTTTCCCGAGCTGAAACAAAACCGGGCTGGTTCCCCACAGGTGCGGCAGAACCATCAACACCTGACGGCACGGAAGTAATCGGAACATGTGTTAAACCAGGCGGTCCACTTGCATATCCACCACTTGCAGGACCTCCCGTGGGGTAATTCAATGGAGGCAATCTGGAGGGTTTCTTCCCTTCAGCTACATGCATCATTGGCACTTCTTTTTCATCCTCCACTTGAACATCCCCCTTCCTGGACCCAGGCAAGGATTGAAGATCACAACCCTTTGGCAGGTCGTAGCCCTCAATAGGCAGCCATGTCCCATCAGGCAACACAGTCCAAAAACCACCCATACCATCCGTGTAGAAAACTTGTCCTGGCAGGTACTGCTTCTCTGGAGTCATTCCTAGAGGATATGCCGTGTTTGCGTCCACCACTCCAGAGCTCCGTGCCCTTGAAGCTGACCCAGATGCAGCAGAGGTATAGCTTTTCTCCTCCACCCGATGCAACCTGTTCCCCAGCTCCTTTGTTTGCACAAGCAACTCTTTCAGCGCACGCTTCACCACCGCCATATCTTCAGTTTGCTCTTCACCACTAACATCAGGAATGAGTTCTTCGTCGGCTTGCACTCCACCAATAGTACCTCGTTCCATTTGGCCCATTAAGCCTGACGATGGTCTCTCAACAGGTGCAGGTTCCTGACCCAAAAGATCTTGCAGCGAAGGTGGCCTCCTCGTACCTTCACCACTTCTATCCCCTCCGCTCGCGGGAAGACTTGCCGGCCTTGATTGCCTAAGTCTCATTTCTTCTTGAGCCCGCTCGCTCCAGAAAGGATTTGCTGCTTGAACCGGAACCACTTCGTTTTCCACCTGAGGCGTTGGCTGTATCATTGCAACCTCCCTACCATCTGTCAGCGCTTGTACCATTTGTTGTCGATCTTCACCCCCACCACCACGATTTCCTTCGGCTTCATTGGCCGTTGGCGACAGTCCAGGCTCAGAGCGACGCCGCATCATGTCCATGGCGTTAAACAAACGAAAAATCTTTACCAATTCCGCAGGAAGCCAAATTTGGGCTCATAACCTACGGGGGGCAACCGAAGGAGGACAGGGAACAAAACAGTCAGCCCCAACAGAAGCCCTTGATTCCCCTGGAACAACCGAAGACAAAACCCAAAGCACAACCAAACACACCTTTTCCGTAGGGCGCATTGCCCACGTTTCTTGAGCCTTGAGCCAAAAATATCCGGGTTCATTGACCCCTTCAACTCCCATCACCAACTCTTTTCTACAATACTAGTTGCAGCTCCGCACCCTAAACCCTAAACCCTAAACCCTGTCGGCTCAGAGCCCCAAGTTGCCCCATGAACCCCGAAGCCCTAAACCACCCCTTGTTTTGCTCAAAGGATTGGAGGCCCTCAGTGGTGCATTTTTTTTTTGTTCTTTTTTGTTAGTCTTCTGTTGGTTATTTATTTCTTTTCAATCGTAGTGGTGTCTTTTTTATAGTAAGGGTTTAGGATTTAACATGCAAACCCTGAGCCCTAGCAACAAGGGCCCCTTACACGCGCACCTTTCTTGTTCACATATCATGGGTTCCCCTACTACCCCCCTCTATACTACCCCCCCCCCCAGTTTCCCCTATCCCTGAATAACCTTAATTATGGGGGGAACCTAGGGGGGGGGGGGTAGTAGCCCTAAACCCTAAACCCTAATTCCTAACCCTAAACCCTAAACCCTAAACCCTTAACCCTTAACCCTAAACCCTAAACCCGTACAGAGGGGAACAGTAGGGAACCCATGAACATAGCATGCTAGGCACTGGTGGGGTGCAGGCCCTTGTCGGAACACTCCGTGCGAACGCTGATGGCTCACGGGTTTCGCATTCAGGGTTCAGGGTTTCGGGTTTAGGGTTTAGGGTTAGGGTTTAGGGTTTAGGGTTTAGGGTTTAGGGTTTAGGGTTTAGGGTTTAGGGTTTAGGGTTTAGGGTTTAGGGTTTAGGCAGACTACAGCACAAACCCCCCTAAGCTCCAAAACTGCTATGACCAAAAAGCTGCCAACGCCCAATCTTCTCAAGGCTGTTGGGTAGGACCCCTCCTGAATCCTACACCGTCAACCCTAAACCCTAAACCCTAAACCCTAAACCCTAAACCCTAAACCCTAAACCCTAAACCCTAAACCCTAAACCCTAAACCCTAAACCCTAAACCCTAAACCCTAAACCCTAAACCCTAAACCCTAAACCCTAAACCCTAAACCCTAAAACCTAAACCCTAAACCCTAAACCCTAAACCCTAAACCCTAAACCCTAAACCCTAAACCCTAAACCCTAAACCCTAAACCCTAAACCCTAAACCCTAAACCCTAAACCCTAAACCCTAAACCCTAAACCCTAAACCCTAAACCCTAAACCCTAAACCCTGACCCTCAAACCCTAAACCCCACACCCTCCCTGCCCATGTTTTCATGAACGTGCTCAACCTGGTCAGACCAAACACCCTGATCTCTTAGGGTTTTTCACAAAGCAGTCCGAAGCCCAAACCAAACAGGCCAGTCGTCTTCACCGATAACGCGCTGTCCCTCAACAACGGCGTCTTCTTTCTGGAGGACGCCTTTTTCCCCTCGACGCCGAAATTTCACCAACCCCTACGCCCCAAACCCTAAACCGTCAACCTTTACCGGCACCTATAACCCTACTCAAAGCCCCGAAACCCCAAAGCCCCGAAACCCTAACCCTAAACCCCAAAGCCCTAAACCTCAAACCCTAAACCCTAAACCCCGAAACCCCAAACTCTAAACCCTAAACCCCAAACCCCCAAACCCCAAATCCTAAACCCCAAACCCTAAACCCTAAACCCTAAACCCCAAACCCCAAACCCCAAAACCCAAACCCAAACCCCGAACCCCTAAACCATAAACCCTAAACCCTAAACCCGAAACCCTAAACCCTAAACCCTAAACCCTGCCATGTGAACCTTGAGCCTCACAGGTCTCCCAGGAAGGGCCGTCGAAGTCTTTCTTTCAAGCCTGGAGACGCGGCTGCCGCCGGGGTGCCCGCCTGCGTTCTCCTTGGTTTGGGGTTTGGGGTTTGGGGGGCTGGGGTTTGGGGTTTAGGGTTTAGGGTTTAGGGTGTAGGGTTTAGGGTTTAGGGTTTAGGGGTTCTGGGGGTACCAGCCCGCAAAAGGTCACATTACAGGGTTCTTAAGAGGGTTCAAGGGGGGTAGAACCCAAGGTTCCCCAATACTTCCTACTGTTCCCTAAGGCTCCCTAAGCTTCCCTAGGGTTCCCTAGGTACTTACCCCCCTTGAACCCCCATCCCTTAAGAACCCGATCATCGTATCTTAGTAAACCTTGGGGGTCATTTGGGGGATATTTGGGGGCTACTTAGGTATATAGGGACTACATACTGTATATATATATATATCTATGTATATATACATATATATATATAGGTTATATATATATATATATATAGGAATGAGATTAAGGGTCCCTTCTCGAGGTGCCTCCTTCTACCCCCCTCAAGATGCGCCATATCCTTGGGCCAAGGCACTGGGGAATGGCCCTGGGCGGACAACGGCTGCATGTACGAGGCCGTGGGGCTCCACAACCCCCCCAAAGCCCTGAAGCCTAAACCCTAAACCCTAAACCCTAAACCCTAAACCCTAAACCCTAAACCCTAAACCCTAAACCCCCCCAAAAAAATCAACTCCCTCAAGCCCATCGACCTTAAGCCCTAAACCCTAGACCCCCAAGGCCGAAGCCTTAAAGCCGAATCCGTTTAGGGCATGACATATTGTCTGTTAAGTCAACTAAGTCTTGTTACATGCATTGTATGTACGTATGTGACAATCGCTATAAATGGGTTGAAGCCCAAAACCCAAGCCCTAACCCCCAAACCCTAAACCGTAAACCCGAAACCCTAAACCCTAAACTTCTAAACCCTAAACCCTAAACCCTAAACCCTAAACCCTAAACCTTAAACGCTAAACCCTAAACCCTAAACCCCATTCCCCAAGAGCTCAACTCCCAAGAGGTCCTCCTTCAGCACCTCGGCGGTCAGCGCTATGACGGCCACTGCGCGCGGCAGCGGCGGCCCTGGCTAGGGTTTAGGGTTTAGGGTTTAGGGTTTAGGGTTTATTGTTTAGGGTTTAGGGTTTAGGGTTCAGTAGTGTTTTAACTTGTGGTGATTATCAGTATGATTATGAGTATGGTAGTTCTGATTACCATTACCACTTCCACCACCACTACGACCACAACTGATACCACCACGGCTACGCGTTCTACTCCTGCTGCTATCCGGGGAGAGGTTTGCCCTCGCGCAGAAACCTGTCTTCTTCAGACTTCGGGCTGCTTAAAAACGA